AAGTTTGAAGTTTGCTTTGCCTGAAGTTCATGTGCTTCAAGCTAAGAAACTAAGCAAGATCTTTTGGAGCTAAGAAGAGCTTCATGTTTTTTTTGTTGTTAAGCACCGATGAGCTTTCTCCTCTCCATTTATTTTTTGCTTTCATTTTTTAAAGTTTCCTCACACGATATTGTTAAGAGTCATCGCCTCTGACGGACTGCATGTCCTTGATATTTGATTCTTGCACGGCGAGTGACTTCACTGACTCTCGAAATGACAGCTAATTGAGGCTCGTTTCCCGGCGAGCGCTGCTGGACGACCCCCAAGCGTTCCTTTCTTCTGCCCGCCTGTGAAATTGGTCGGCATAATCAAAAGAAAATTGTAGAGCTGCCAGACGGGAGATGTCAGAAGAAACATTGAGGCGAGCTAGGTTGTTGTTTACCTCTCGCTCTTTTTCTCCTCCTTTTACTCCTTTTTTTTTTCTTTTTTTTTTTTTCCTTGAGGAGACTATTTACCTGAATGTGAGCTGGAAAAAAAAAATCAACTCCAGTGCCAGAGGTGGCGTTGTCATCGAGTGGTGTTCTGGTGTGTCAAGTAGACTGACGGGGTCAAATAGGTGATCGACAGGCAGTTTAGTGACATTAACGCTCATCTTCGGCGGTATCGACGAGCCTCTCGGGAGGCAAAGGCTTTCTGTTTGAGTTCCCAGGGTGATGATCCATCAGGTGTTTGTGTGATATGTCGTGAAACTATAAATGGCCTTTGGTTTAATCCTGGAACATTGTGTGCCAGTGGCTGGGAGTTTCTGTATTTCAGAAAATGATAGGAATGATAGTAGGATAGCGACTTATTATCTTTAGCCACTCATATGGACTACTCAGCAAGATAATCATCGTCTCTTGATTCATTGGACAACTGAGGTGGAGATGGTTTTCTGCTGCGGAAAGCACATGGACACATGCAATCCAATTTTTCTGCTTTTATGGTTCACATTCGTGTTTGGATGTGTCCTCTGCCCTGACAGAATATTAAGGGTGTGTAAATCAGTAGCCAGGCCTCCTGGGACAAATACATTCGATGTCTGGGATATTAGTTTTTTATTTATAGGTGCCCAGATAAAAAGTAGGTATAACCAGATTAATAAAAAAAAAAAAAATCCTACTAGCTGTACACTTTTGAAAAAAAAAAGTTTTCGTTTAGTTTAAACAAAATGGTATTATGACATATTTCTATTAGTGGTAGCTATAGTGCCACATACTCATTAGGAATCCCACCACATGCCGCACTACACACAGCAGCCAGTTTAACTTACGGTAGAACAATTTGTGCGACACGAATACGCAATCGAAAGAAAGAAAATAAAAATGCTAGACAGATTTTCATAATGTCCTCTAAGTTAATGCTACGTCTCTGAGTTGATGTAAGTAGATGAAGAGGAAGTCAGAATCAGGTATTTGATACTTATAGCTCCGATATCTCTATTAGTATTGAAAAGAAAAATTGGAAAAAAATTGGTTCCTAGACAGTTTTCTTCTGATCTAGAGAAAATGCTGCATGCTACATTAAGGTGAAACCTAGAGAGGCAGCTTTTGGAGAACTTTTCTGTTCAGTCCTATTCACTGAAAGAAAGAAGTGTAACATGACAGGTCCTTCAGTGTTAAGAATGAAAAATAGATGTAGTATCTGTCTATTATTAAATAAAATATAGTGTGGAGAGGGAAAGTGAGCGAATGAATGGAGTGTGTAAGTGAGGTAACAAACGTCAGCTTGCTCTCACAGCTGTCTTATTTCATTGCAGGAATAAGGCAGTAAATAATCAGTAGAGTGTCATGACCCAGAGGGTTTGGATCGTTGCGTTCTAGCTTACTTGTCCGTCTCAGGTTGCTCAGGTTTTCTCAGTGCCATGAGGGAGTGACTAGGGGAAATAATGAACTGCATATTTTACCGGAATGAAGAAACAAAAGAAAAGATGTTCCAGATTGGTGGCTTGGACTTCGGCCCGGCGTGCGTGTGTTTGCTCACAGGAAATGGAGATCCGTGTCCGATGATGGGTTGCCAGATATGTGATATTTCCTCTCCTGCCACAATCGCCCTTTCCCCCCTTCGCCTGTTGGCGCGGTGCACAGCGAGCTCTCTTTTCTAGCAGCCCTCGTTCAAGTGGCCTCGCCTGTGTTCAGCCAACCCACAAACACATTTACACTTTTCTTGGCGTTATCGTACCAGCGCAAAGTGGGTTAGTAAGCTGATATAACTGTTCTCTCACACACTAAAACACACATGATGGAACTCAAACATGGCTTAATACTTAACTCCATGAAGCCATTTTCCTTTTTACTTGGAAGACAGATATGTCTGAAGAATGGGCGTTTATGTGTGATTTGAAATAAAAACTGCAGATGTCATCAGATATTCTCTTAAACATGTCACACTGAGCAATTCTTATCTCATATACAATGCACAGGAATTTCCCCAAAGACTTACGCTTGCTCGCTCAGACTCACTTTATTAAAGAATTAAGGATGAGGAGACTCGAGGAGAGAGAGGAATGGTAATAGAGCTAATGTCAGAGAAAAGTGAAATGCAGTCAGGCTCAGATTTGTCTCTAGCCATTGACATTTAATCTGGCCAGAGTAACAAACAGCTCCTGTGAGGATGATACCCGAGCGAAGTGACGAGTCGGCATTTACTCTGAGGTGCGGAAAATGAAAGATGGGAACAGTTAGACATTCGCTTTGCTATCAGTTTTGTAGTGGAGACAAAAAGAAACAGCATTCTGGTTAGGTGGCAGACCTTTTATTTTTGAATTATCACTATATCTGACAAGGAAGCAGTGTGAACAGTGCACTTCGCACCAGCCATTATCACACACGATCCTCAGAGTGTACGATGTAGTACTTTACTATAGAGGTGTCCAGATGTTTAAGTCTGACAAGAGCTTTTTTTTTAATGTCCATGATTCTCAAAGTGGGGTCTGTGAAGCAAAGCCAGGGGGTCCTTGATTTTTTTCTTTTATTTTGTTACAGCAGTGGAAATAACAACCCACCATCTGTATGATCATTAGCCGATTTATCTGGTCACTTGAATGGAATGGGTTTAATCAAAACATCAGTAACTCAGAAATAAACAAAATTCAGGGATGAAAAAAACCTCTGTGGATTCAATAAATAAGGCCAAATTGAAATATTGAGCCTAATATTCAAATAGCTGGATTATGTTCATAAAATAAATGTGTAATGAGGTAGTCTGTTTTTTTCCCCTGCCTGCAAAACGTTTGAGAGATGTTTTGATACTTTTTAATTTACCATGGAAAATGAGGGGAAAAATAAAAAGGGAAGATGCTGTGTGCTGATAAAATATCTCTCTAAGATAAGCTAGCTTGTCAGCAAACATGGTTGCTATTTTTTTAATAGCAGTATAATTAACTGAATATTGCTAGCTTGCTAGCAAACTTGCCAACTGTTTTTTTTTTTTTTTTTACACAACCTAGTTAAGTGTATTTAAGGTTTAAGTATAGATGGCTTGTAAACATGGCTACTAGTTTAAATATACAATATAATATTTAGCCTAAAATGTAGAAGTTTGTTAGCAAACTCCTTAAAAACCTCCTCCTAGTGAGGTAACATCAGCGTGAACTAGCTTGTAAAAATAGCAGCCATGTTTGCTGACAGGTATTGCTGTGTTTAGGTAGATGGCTAGCTTAGCTAATGTTATACTGTGTAAATAAAGCTAGTATTTTATGTGCTAAGCTATAGCCTAAAGGGAGAAAATGGCTGCAATGTACGCAACCACATACCGAGTAACGTTTAATGTCCTCTCCGCTACATGTCAATCTCATAATGAAGGAACTGATGATACTGTATATGTCTCAAAAAGTGTATTTGTGATGTATTTTATGACCATGTATCACCCAGCACCACTATTCTGACTGATAATAAAATTCTCTCTATGATTCAGTCTTTTGTATTGTACTGTATATATTTTTCTTCACTTGGTGAATATCAGTATAGACAAGAATCCCAACCCATCCATACTTTATTAAAAAGAAAAAAGATAAAAGGCAACCTGGTGCTGCTTATTGGCCAACAAACTTTAAAACATTGAGTTGCATCGATATATTTCGCGGCTTTTCATAAATGCACCTGCTAACGATGCTTAATCTTCTCACAGTGTCGACACTCGCAAATGGGGTCACGTCAACGGCGTTCCCCAGAAGAACCACGACTTCCCTGAGCACCAGTAGCAGCTCCACACACCGATTTCTGTCCAACACCACAGTCACTGTCAACCCCAAACAGAGCAGAGGCGCTCAGGAGCCGGCGGTGGAGAACCCCGGCGCTGTAGATCCCACCAGTGCTGGTCCTCCGCCCCCCAGCAGACGGTTCTGCGAGAGCACTGAGATCAGAGACATCGTCTGGCCTCGTACACACAGGGGCGTCACCGTGGAGCGGCCATGTCCCAAAGGAACCAAAGGTGTGTTTATGTGGATGTGTGTATGCAGTGTCAGATTACTGATTTAGATTGAAGGTCAGCATGAGGCTGAACATGGAGAGGTTGTGTTTGAAGGTAACATGTGTATGTGGGTGTGCGATTTTCCCTCCAGGCTAGAATTGGCCGCCCAGGATGAAATTAACTTCGGTGTTCGCTCGACTCTAGGAGTTAATTTAGCACTGGTGATTTGCTGTTTATTTGTGTAAGGAGTCATGTGATTAGTGTGTTGTGACAGCTTGTTTGTGGATTAGACGAGCATCTACACAGCTTGATTTGTTTCCCTGAGCCATTTGGAAATGGTTTTAGGAGAAAAGCATGGCCTTGAGGCATTAATGAGGAGAGACAGACTGCAGTATTATGCTGGTTAATTTGCATCTTCTTTTTCGGGTTCTCTACACTCTCCGGTGTGGTTCTTCATCAGGTTTTATCTACATTCGCATTTTTACATTTACATTTGCTCATTTGGCTGATGCTTTTATCCAGCTGAGCAGTTGAGGGATAAGGGTCGTGCTCAGGGATCCAGCTGTTGCAGTTAGGATGTGCTGGGATTTGAACTCACAACCTTCTGATCAGTAGTCCAAAACCTTCACCACTTACCCACCATTTCTACCATCGCCATTTGGTTACTTATTATACAATATTCAACCATCTCCCAAAAGGTGGTCTTCTCATTCTCCTTCTTTCTTCTTGTGGTTCTTGCTTGGTTTCTTCCTTTGATTCTCATTTCCACCTCATCATTCTCCAACTGGTACTCTCTCTTGCTCTCTGCACTTTCTTCCTCTGGTTCTGTCCACCTTCTCCTGCTATGTCTTTCCACCACCCTCCTCTGGTTCTCTTTACACTCTCTACCTGTTTCCCCCTAATTCTCTCTAGTTTCTCTATCTGTTTCTCCTTCTGATGATCTTTTCCTATACCTTTGGTTTATCAACCTTCCCTTTCTGGTGTGACACTTTCTTCCTCTGGTTCTGTCCATTTTCGTCCTGTGACACTCCCCACCTTCTCTCTCTACTTCTTTCCAACATCCTCCTCTGGTTCTCATTCTTTTCCAACTGATTCTCTCCATCTTCTCCCTATGGTTCTCTATATTACTTATATTACTTATTTGATTCATCTTTTCTCTCTACATCTTTTCCCTATACATCTTTCCTAAGGTTCTCCTTTCCTTCCTCATCTGTTTCCTCATCTGGATATCTTTTCTTTTTCTCAGTCTCTCTCCACCTTCTCCCACTGGTTCTCCTCACATTCTCCCTCCTTTCTGCTTCTCTGGCCTTGCCTCTGGTTCTTTCTACCTTCTACATCTGTTTCTCCTTCTGGTTAACTTTTCCTTTTACCCCTGGCTCTCCACCTTCTCCCTCTACTACTTTCCACAACCCTTCCACCCTCTATGTCTGGCTGCCATCTGGTTCTCTTTACCTTCTCTCTGCACATCTCATCTCTTCACCAATGGGATCTGGGTTCCCAGTCAGTTCTCTTCTTGCAGTTTTCATTTTCTCTCTCTGCTCTCTTTGCCACTTATCTCCGTGGTTCACGTCACCTTGTTTTTCTGGTTCTCCATGCACAGGTATTGCCTCATACCTCTGCACAGCTCTGAGTGGTACATGGAACCCAAAGGGACCAGACCTCAGCAACTGCACCTCCCACTGGGTCACACAGGTGGCGCAAAAGGTTAGTCCCAGATTTAAAAAAAATTAGAAATGATTGGTAATTTTTTTTAATACTATACTATACTATACTATACTATAATATAATATAATATAATATAATATAATATAATATAATATAATATAATATAATAATTATTATTTATACACAATTAAATATATAGAAAATATTAAATATAATATTTTTTATACACAATTTGTTGTATATATTTTTATATTATTGGCTAATTGGTAGAATATTTCCCTTTTGTTCTAACAACAAAGACTGCAAATTTCAAAACAAAAATGAATTTTAATTAATGACACTTTTGAAGCTTTGAATACATTTATTTTTCATCATCAATGACTGTAATTAGTCAGAGGTACAAAACAGTAAAAGATGAAAGTATGTACCTGAAAATTAAAAAACGCACACAAGTAATCAAAGCATAAATAAGCACCGGCATGAGTTAATTTATACATTACAAAACTTAAATAAGGCAAATGAATGTAGAGCAGCTGCTTTCTGCTATGTGCTAACTGTTAAAGTCTTCATTCTTGAGCTAACAGATGACCACAGTGTTGTAGAAAACTAGACCAAAGAAGTGAAATCTTGGCCCTGAGTGGACGTTTTGTTTGATTTGGCTGTTATTTGTGGTTTTTCAGTACTAGAGGGGGCTTGACAGAATTTCTGTTCTTGACCAAAAAAATATTTCTGCTCCTGATCGAAAGATAAATAAAAAAATTAAATTAAATTAAATTAAATAAATAAATAAAATCCAATCTCCTAATACATGGCCACTTAAATTAAATTATATTTAAATTAAAGATTAAAGTGTATAAATATGCTTTTGTTGTTTTTTTAAACATGGCCACAATATGTTTTATTAAAAAATATATATATTTTTAATTAAAACATAAATTTTGTCTCCTATTCATTGCATATTTTTTTTAATATTACAATATAAAATATTAATATTAATTTAATATTATAGTACACACACACTCACACACACACACACACATATATATATATATATATATATATATATATATACAATATATATATAAACATATATATATATATATATATATATATATATGTTTTTTTTTAAATATGCATTAAATATTTATATTATTTGATTATTATTATTATATCATTTTATTATATGTATTCCAAAAGTCCACTGAAAGAACCATTTGTTTTCCAGCCTAATTAAATTTCGATTCTCATAAGAGATGTTTCTGAACCAATTAAAAAACAGGTTTGTCTCCATTTTAAATAATTTGTCCTTGAATAATAAGTGCTTACTGAGTAATATGTTGTATTGGTATTTGATGATGAAATATGGGACGTTTTGTACCGCTATCTTTCATCAGCTTTGCAAGCCAAGGGATTCTGAGCAAATAGCGGTTTTCTGTCGAACTCTGTGAGCTATACCATAATTTTATCCACCTCCATATCGATATATATCCAAAACATGTTATTTTGCATTTATGTGTGGACAGCATTTTAGCAGCACCCTTTGATTAATGCGTTGTGAATAGCAGCCCTGAGCCAGTCACGCCACATTCATTTGCAACAAGTAACAATTTCCTCTTCAGTTTATTTCACCCAAAAGATTTACTCACCAACCCATATTTGGGCTGCAAAGTTTATCAACATGGTTCTCTCGCTTTCTCTGCCAATTCCCTGCATTAACTCTACCATGTAATTTGTGTCCCTTGTAATCACACATTTCGGCTCTAAATTGGGTCAGATCCGGAGTGGAGAGAACGCGGCGAACCTGGCCAATGAGCTGGCACGGCACACGCACGGCCCTGTGTTTGCCGGCGACGTCAGCTCCAGCGTCAGGCTCATGGAGCAGCTGGTGGACATCCTGGATGCACAGCTTCAGGAGCTCAGGCCCAGCGAGAAGGACTCGGCTGGACGCAGCTTCAACAAGGTACAGCAGATTAATGGTTTCTTTTTTATTTTGTGCACAGTGTCATATTTTGCATAATATCCAGTTCGTGATCAGGAAAAGTAGCGCAGCATTTTTTACTGGAATCTCCGCACATTTTGCAGTGTTTTGCTTTTCTGTTTTTTAAAGGGAATTTCTGTGCAATTTTCAGTGCAATTACAGATAAGTAGACCTCCAATTGCACAGTTAGGTTCTCAGTTGATGTTTGGGTGCAGATCAACTGCTTATCTTGCATTACCAAGCCCCCTGTTCCCCCCAGAACCTTTTGAGCTTGGTACAGTTGTAAATTTGTGGATTTCCTGATCTCAATTGCCTCTGACTTTCCCAGAGCTCATTTTCCTGCCACTGTGGAATTCCTGAAACGTTTAGCAGGCCCGGTGGAATTCCTGAACAACGACCCGCCTATGCATATTTGCTTTTTTTTCTGACAAGCCGAATCCCTTTTTTCTTTTCTCGTTTTGAGCGTGCTTATCTTCTCTAGGTGGTAGAGAAGGACACTCCCTCCTGTCTGCCTGTCAGTACTCCAGCCCCAGGGTTTTTTTTCTCTCCCTCCTGAATATGTTCCAGCTCAGCTCCTCTGTAATTATGGGGTTAGCGCATCTGACTCACCTGGCGCTACAGATGTAAAAGCCACCGCTAGTGTCTAGAAACAGTTTTAAAAAATGAAAAAAATAAAGAGCATGATAGAAGCCAGGGCCCTTTAGGATTGTAATATGCAGCCAAGTATTTGCTGAAGGAGGAATTTCCACAGAAGAGGCTTGACTGGAGGGTCTCGCGAGGCCGTTGATCTCCCACATAAAGGATTGTGGGACGACGAGGTGGTGGACTTACTCCGCCTCGAGGCTGTCGCTGGCGCTGCTAAAGCCACTGCCGGTGATAAAGAAAAAGAACGGAGGTGTAATTCTGCAAAAAAAAAAAAAATCCTGTTTGCATGCTGAAGTGTTCCCTCTCTTCCATCGCTTCTTCTTTACGCTCTGCGTCGCCGCAAGGATCGGCTCGTGAAAAAGGGAAAGGGGGGGGATACGGGTGTGGGGGCACTTTGTTTTGATAAAATGACTATCGGTGGCTCTGAAACCTTCATATCGCCAGATAGCACAATTATCCTGACCATCAAATACAAATGACCTCCTCCAGCTTGAATGCATTGAGTTTAATGGATTTTCTAGCACGGTCCAGTACTTGCGTCTCAGTTTTTTTTTTTTTTCCCCTCCACTCTCCCCCAAACCCCTCCCCCCCACCCCCCACCCCCCTCTACAACTCAGCAGTCCTGGTGTTTTGGTTATGTAAGCTAGTTAGGTATTCAAAAGACACTTTTAATTGAAAGAGGAGGGCGATGTGGGGTAGCACAGTGCTCTCTCAGTGTGACGCTGCTCCCGTACAACGTCTGATTGCATCGTCGAGACGAAACGCTTGATTGTGTGCAGGAATGTGGTGCCTTGATGTTCCTTTGATGACGCAGAACCTGGTTTTGTAGCTTCTAATGACTTCTAACTCTGTGTGTGTTTCTGTCTTATTCTTGATCTTCGCTTTTTTGTGATTTTCTTTTCTTGTTTTTCAAAAAAGCGTCAGAAGCGAGAAAAGACGTGCAGGGCCTATATGAAGGTATATACAATTATAATCCAGCTTTATGTAGCTTCCCTGTCTGTCTGTCTGGCCATCTGTCTGTCTGTCTGTCTGTCTGGCCATCTGTCTGTCTGTCTGTCTGGCCATCTGTCTGTCTGTCTGTCTATCTTTCTGTCTGTCTGGCTGGCTTTTTGGCTGACTTTCTGTTACCGCAGGATGCTCTCTGCTGGAATCTGACTCATTCTTTAGCCACTTATTAGTATCGTGTCTGCCTTTGTCCGCTTGGCTACTGGGTTTTTTTCTACACTTTTCATCCCTCCATCTCTCTCCCTCTCTCCCTCTCTCTCTCTCTCTCTGTGCTCCCTGCTCGCTCTTTCTCCTTACCTTTTATCTCTTTTCCCCTCCCCCTCAATCCCCTGCTCTCTCCTTCCCACTTGTAC